CCCCGCAGCTGCCTCGGCAGCCCTCCCCGCCGAGCCGGGCCCCGCTCTGCCGCCTCCTGCCCCGGCTTACTCATGAGCAGGGCCTGTTAATGTCTCTTATTCACCCTGATAAAATCTAACTCGAGACTGCTTCCTGAATCTTGCAGGTTTTCCCTGGGCCACTTTAGCTGACTCTAGCTGAATCTTTTTTTGTTGCCTTATGTCAGTGACTAATAGCTTAAAAGCTGTTTTACTCCAAGACCCTTGAAAAAGGATGTTTTTAATGTGTGGCTTGCTCTCATGAATTCAAGGGAGGAGTGCAATAGCTTCTTAAACAATACTTGAATTTCCAATATTTTGTCCATTTCATGGTGTAATCAGATGTTGGAATATTGGTATAATACATGTATATTTGTGGTGAAGCATAGGATGGGCTTAGTGTTTGTAAAATTCTATGTAGATGTTATGTGATAAAGTTTTATCAGTTTTTATCGTCTTGTGGTGGTGAGGCTTCTTAAGTAAGCCTCTTCGTTTGTGTTAAGCACTAGAATGTCATTATGACTGTTAAGGGTGGCTGTAAGAAAGCAGTGTTAGCCAGAACTTCAATGAGAGTGTACTCTGCGTGTGGCTGTACTTTTGTGCTGTTTTACTGTGTGTTTCTGTCAGGATCTGTTTCTGAACTCTGCTGTTCTTTGGGTTGTCACAAGAATCCTTGTCTGTAGAAGGATCATTCAGTGGTTTCTAGTTTGCTTGAAAGGTTGTACAAAAATGGTATCTGTATCAGTGGAGGCTTAAATTGGTGCAGTGTGATTCCTGTTGTTACTGTCTTCCATTCCTAGGAAGGAAGAAGCTTTACAAAGTTCCAAATTGTTGTTTTTCTGACTTGTAGTTTAATTTTTGAGTTGAGGTGTTTTTTGTTTGTCTGTACAGTATTATCTATAGTTCTACTTGCGTGTTCCTTCATCTGTCTCCAATTTTCCCATTTTGGATTTGCTTTAAGCAGTTGATCTTAGTAATGTGATGGCTGATCAGGTTTTTGATAGATGTGGACAGAGCAAGGAGGAAGTGTAGATGGATGACCCTCACTGCCAGAGTCTTGACTCTTGCGGAAAGTGCATTTGAATGCTGTGTATGGGTCCTAGGTCATATAAAGAGGCAGCACATCATGTGACACGGTAGGTGTTGGCCTGAGGGAGTGGGTTACTAGAACATGACAGTAGTTGCTTGAGCATGGTGCTAGAGTAGTAGCAGGTAGTGTTAATAAATTGACTGGAATAATTAGTGGGGTTTTTTTTTACAAATGGCATTGCTCTCCCTTACAGCATATTTACTACAAAGACTTAGGCTGTTTATTTTTGGTTAAATCACTTGATTGTGCTATAGGCAGAATGAGCCCTGGTTTTCTGCAATAATGTGATTAACAGAAGAGTATGTAGTGGTGATCAGGGAAACTAGAGTTTAAGTAGGCAGTGGTCAGGTGTAATGTAATACTTCAAAAAGCAGTACCTGAAACAAATCTTTCCTTCAAACAGATCTGAAGTGCTTAAGTACCTGAGTTACTCAGAACTTTAAACTTTAATTTCATTTCCAAGTGGATAGACATTTTTTTGAGAACACAGGTAGAACCAGCTAGACATTGGCATACCAGGCAAGTTGGAGTTTCTTAATGTGAATTTGCTTTCCCTAGTGAAGAGCATGGCTCTTTAAAAAGCTGCTGTTGTTTCTGTCATACTTGGTAATCTTTGTGCTTTGGAGGACTCCATCAAAATGCTGGAGAAGTACTTGGTGTGGTAAACGGAACACTGCAAACTGCCTCCTGCCCTGTCAGCTGGTTTCTGATCTGAGAAATACTTGAATTTTTGAAGCATCAAAACTATTTTCAGTAAGAGCTACATGAGGAATAGTGTGTAAGGAGAATGCCATGATGTCTTGAGTGTCAGCAGTTTTTCTGAAAACAGATTAGAAGTTTAATATCACATCACACTGCAGGTCTTCTTAGGTCACAAATTTCTGATTGGTGCTGGTGATAGAGGCCATGTTTAAAGACACTTGAAGATCTTCCAGATTGTGCTAAAGAAGTGAAGGCATGGCTTTTAACATTGGATTTAGAACTTCAGGCTGCTGTAGAAAGTCTTAGGCATGTATTAGAATATGACTTCTGAGCCTACAATTTCCCTTATTTTTATTTAAAAAAAGAAAAGCCGAGTGCTAATGTTAGTTTTGATTTAGTAATTTCAGAACATATGTGACTTGACTGCTTATATTTTGCCAGCTTAACTTTGTAAACAAAGTGGTTGTAGCTTTTACCATAAAAATCTAATCTTTCCCAGGGTAATGATGCTTGAAATTTGTCCAGGCTACCTCAGCAGTTAGTGTGTTTGACCTCATGACTAGTTCATAGTTAGTCCTTTGTAAAGCATTCTGATGTACAAGGAAAACAGGTTATTGTCAAAGCTGGGCTCCTCAGCTCTAGAAGGATTTTCTCATGGTATTTCAGGAAGGGGGACATAGAGGAATATTGTTAGTTTCTAAACTGGCTCTGAAGTGTTTGGGTGGCTTTTACTGGAAGTGCATTGGAGTCTGAGCTGTTGTGGGGTGTAAGAGGGCTGGAGGAATAATCTGTTGTGTTGCCATTGCTTTCACAGGAGTTGGCATTTATAAACCATCTAGCTGTTTTGATTACAAAGTGACATAGGCAAAATACTCTTAGAGTGCATAAAAGCAACTACTGTGTAGTCTGCTCTGTGTATACTTGTATAGTTCACATTCTAAAAGCCCCAAGATTTAACTATGTTCAGTTTGAGATGCTTTTCTTTTTTTTTAGTGGATTGTGGTGTTTGAACTGCTGCTCTTCGGTAGTGTAGGTTTTGGTGCTGTCTATTGTGGACCAGGCAGTGGTGTCTTAGAATAGCATTTAATAGTGATTGTTTTGGGTTTTTTGAGTGTAAGAACTAGATTGGATGTGTATGTTGCTGTTTACTTGTAAACCAGTATGTTGGACAGCTGTTCGTAAATCTCTTAATATTGTTCTGGGCAAATGGTGCTTATGTTGGACTTTAGTAAAGCAAGAATATTAAAAAGCTGTTTTAGTCAGCTCTGCCAGATTTAAAAAAAAAAATAAGGAAATGGAGTAAATGAAATTGGAGTGGGTATGTTGGTGTTTTTTACTGGAGCAAGAGCAACATAGCAGCAATTTTCATGAAGCTGAAATAGCTGTTGGCAAAGCTCTGGTAACAAATCTGACAAATGAGATGAGCGTAATTATGTAGAGAAGAGGTTTGTCCCACCTGTTACTGTTGTCTGAAACTTACTCATACTTCAGCTGGTAGCCAAAATGTACTTACTGAAGTTTGAAGGGAATGCAATACATGGCATTTAAGTGTTTCTTGGGCACAGTTATAACTGATGTGCACCTGTGACCAGTTAAATCAATGCAGAATGAAATTTTGTTTTGTAGTAGGGTTAATTGTGGATAATGTGTGTTTAAAGCTTTTGTATATAAAATTTGCAATGTGATCTTCAATGGGGAAGGAAACTTTCTTAGACTTGCTTTGTAAATGGTATGTTGCCAAATTGAAAGGCATTGGGGATGCTTGTGCTCAAAATAGTTTCAAAGCTGTGGCCTCCTGTGAATTGCCTTTGAGTTGAAATTCAGATAAAACTAATGGACTCTACAGAAATCAGAGTTTTATGAAAATTCCCTACCTATCAGAACGAAGAGAAGCAGTTACTCCTTTTTTTATGTGGTGTTTCCTGACTATACTGGTGCACTTTAAGAGTGTGTCTCAAAATGCATTGTCTGTTGATTTTTTTAAGTACCTTCCTCACTGACAAACTCCAAATGTTTTTTATGTTAATACATTATGGTTTTGTAAACAGTGCTTTAGTGTGGACCTAAGTGTAGTAAATGCTATTGAGTGGTGCTTCAGTTGCTGTTGACTATCTGATTTGTAAAGGGGGTGGAACCTTTTAGCTATTATTCTCTTTAGGTTTAACAGGACTCATCTTCAGTGTTAACTAATGTGTCACAGCTACCTTGGTACTGTGTTACGGGTTGGCAGGAGGCTGTCTCAGTGATATGCCATACTATATGTTGCTCTATCTGTAACACTAAGAAAACTTTTTTGTCTTCTTGCAGAAAGTGTGGATGCCCATCAGCGGAGCTTTGATGTAGGAATTCAGATTGGCTATCAGCGTCGGAATAAGGATGTGTTAGCTTGGGTTAAAAAACGCAGAAGAACTATTCGTAGAGAAGACTTGATCAGCTTCCTATGTGGAAAAGTTCCTCCTCCAAGGAATTCTAGAGCTCCCCCAAGACTGACTGTAGTATCCCCTAACCGAGCTACTTCAACAGAAACTAGCTCATCTGTAGAGACTGATTTGCAACCCTTCCGTGAAGCCATAGCTCTGCATGGTAACAGTAATTTTTTCAATACTACTTGGTTAAAATTGGGTGGGGGTTCTTAAAGCATGTCTGGCTCGTGGCCATTGTTGGTGTCATAATGTCATGTAACTGATGTTCAAGCTGAAGGTATCTCATTCTCTAAGGGAGAGTTTTTGCATGTATAAGGCATGTTAGCTACTAAAAAGTTGCATAGTCAAATATTTTGAGTGAGGAAGAGATATGGTATAAAAATGAGGTTTGGATCTGTAATACTCTACAGCTGTGAACTCACAGTTAAGTATCAACTCTTGGTAGTGTTGTTGAAGCATGAAGAGACTTGGCATTCATACCAGTGCTAAAGTAAACAGAATTCTTGGAAAATGATAATACTATGCTAGCATGCTAGCAACTAGTTAAATATTAAGACTTTGTCAGTAGCAAGTAACTAGCAAATTTTTGTGGGGTTAGGGAGGGAATTTAATGTGTGAAGCTTCTGCCCCTGGAGTATGTTACCTCACTCTATTGCTGCTGTTATGCACTGGATAATATGGCTTAGCATTCTACTTAAAGGACCCTGGAAAGGGTACTTCACTTGCACATCATTGCAGTAATTGATTCCTGCTCAGAACTAGTTCTAGTTCACTTTAAGACTTAAATGTCTTCTGATGTCATACTGAATTTCCTTCCTTGCCATCACCAGCAATGTTGGTGTCTTGTCTTTTTCAGGTAGGAATATTCAGTAGCTTATTCTGTATTGGACTATTGTCTAGCAAGTGATAAAGAAAAATGTGGTTTTTAAATTGCTCCTGAGGTGAAATGAAGCAGTTCACATGTGGGTTTTATGCCTCCTAAGATTCTAAAGGGTAGCAGGTATCTTGAGGTATAAATAGTAGACCATTCTAAAAGTAAAAATCAAGCTATGAAGAAGTACAACCTGTGAAACCCAAATGAAACTTTAACTGTCTCATTCTCAGTGGGGGGTGGAATTAATGAGTTAATTGGAGGAGTAGGTTCGTGAAAATGCAGTATTTGCTTTGCTATGCTGTGATAGTTTTTCAACATAGATAAGCCAGGCACTGTTACTGTCTAGATGACAGCCTCGTTCTAGTATTGTTTGCTGCTCTGTTGCCACTTGAATCAAGCATGCTTCCACCCAGTCATGTAGTCTTTGGCATTTTTCCTTCTCATATTGGAAGCTGGCTAGAGAATTCTGTGCACCTGTATTGCTTATTTGGGAGGTGAAGCTAATTTTGAGAACAACTGCAGAAGCTGGCTCCTGCCTGATGGGATACACACACTCTTAAAAATAATCTTACTTTCTGAAACTATAGTTAAATCTGGAGTGCAGTTGGCTTTAACTACAAAGGCTTGCTCTCGGGTGAGAGTAAGCCAAGACTCACTTCAGCACAGTTTGCTCTCAGAGTAAACTCAGAGCCATTTTTATTGGTAATAGGGCTCTTTTCATGTCCTCGTATTGTTTCTTAGAATCTGTTTTGTATCGAGCTGGTTTATGGAAGTCAGTTCTCTGTAGCATGGGAGTCTGAACTGTGAGGTATAAAGTTTTCTTTCATATTTCATAACCTACTACAGGGTCATGAGGACTGTAGAAAGCTCTCTGCTCTGTACTGGCACTGCAGGGGCTAGAAATGCACTCTTCCCCTTCATCAGCTGGTTGAGAAGATTATGTGTCAGTCACCTTCTGGATTAGGTTCTCCTGATATCAGTTTCAGTCTGGTCTTTGACAGAAATGCTTTTGTGGTAATCCTTTAGTGACTAGGCTTGTGTTTGGCCTCATAGTTGTTCTTTAGATTATTGTGTATATCTGCATTCTTCCAGCTTTGCCCCCCTTTTCTTGTAAGCCTAAGGAAGTTGTCTCTACCCATCTCCCAAACTGTTTTCCTGTTTGTCATAGGGCTTATCAGAACTGTGTTTTGGTTTTGAAACCTGTGTAGGATCTCAGGTGTATGTAAATTGAATGTACTCTGTAGGGCAGTGCTTATCTTAATTTTTGGCAGGCTGTGTAAAAGTGATTTGCTGCTTCTAGGGATTGTGAGGAAACATGAGAAACTTGATGATTGTGAGTAGCAGTCTCTGCAGGTGGTCAGGACTAAGGCTTTAAGGGGAATTTTTGACTGGTATGTAAAGGAGTGAGACTTAGTGCTGGTAGGCTTGTGGAGATGGAGTATTTCTTTATTGTATCATGGATGGGCTGAATTAATGTGAAGGATAATGCTACAGCTTTGCTCTAAGCAAGAACTCTGCTAGTGAAGCAGGGATAGGTTGGAATCTATGACACCAAGTAAAGCTCTGTAGAAGCAGAGTTGGTTTATTGAAGTCTCAGAAATAGGTACTAATACATGTCTAAAGACCCTGGTGCTGTAAGTTGCTGATCTTGCTCTGATGGGGGAAAATACCTGTGTTTTGATCATGTAACCTCAAAATGCTTCATAATCACGTCTGAAAAGTGACAAACTGTGGTAACAAAGTAGCTAATCATTAAATATTTTCTGGAACATCAAACACAATTCTAGGTATATGCCTGAGACTAAAACATTAGAGAAGAGTATCTTTAGTATCACTACAGTCTTAAAACTGTATGCTGCATCTGAAAAGAAATCTTAAAATTGGGTTTTTAGCCTTGCCTCTTCTATCTCAAACCTTGTTATATCTGACCTATACTATAGCTCTGCAAGGTAGTTGTCAGGCTTCTTGACAAAAGCAAGGGATTTTGAACCCAAAATTTAATCTTGTGATATTGGTTATTAATAGTCTTTGTGCTCTAAGGAAACTTATTCTTCTCTACTGTTTTGCTTTCAAGACTTGTTGCGATAGCTAAAAGCAAAATGATCATGACAAAAAAGCTATACTGACACAAGAATGTTTAAGATGTATGTGATCTACCTTTTCATTTAACTATGCCACTATGCTGTACAGCTGTTACTGAAGTCTTTGGTGTAACCTGAGGGTACTTGAGAATGAGTTTTTGGAACTAAGTAACCTCTTCAGAGAGTGAACTCTGGTAAATAAAAATCTTTGCCCTTAATATTGGGTTTCCATTATTAATGTGCTGATGGGTAACCTTTGAGAAAACATGGCTGGAAACTTGAACTGTGAGTACCTGAAAAGAAGTTAAAGCCCTCAAGAAAAGGTTGAGTAGTCAGCTCAAGGTAATATATGCTATTTTTCTCTCAAGTTTAGTTGGATTTTTCTGAAACTTCAAGAACTGTGTATCTGATGCTTAGTATTTTAAGATGAGATAATAGAAGATAAATACCTGTATTCAACATCTGAAATAGAGTTGGTTTTTTGACTTCCAGCAGTCCCGAAAAATGTCACTGCAGTTAGCATAGGTATCTCCATCTACTTCCTTGATGTGTATTTCTGTATCCAGCTCTGTAAGAGAAAAGTTTCAAATGGCAGAACTACATCAAACTGAGCTAATAGCCATGAAATTCCTCAAAGCTGATGGGTGCCAGGTGACTTTCTGCCTGGCTGTAGCTAGCATACTGAGTCGTGCAGCGCTGGTGGCTGTGCAGAGACCACGTTTGAACCGATGCTTTGTTCTCTGAATGTGGGGTGTGCTCCACGCTTTACAAGCCATTCTCACAGCATTGTGGGAGAACCTGCTATGAGTTGGGGAGGGGGGAGAAGCAAGCTTGGGAGGGCAATGCTGACAGGCATTATGCTTGAGCTTCTTAACTAAAAATGAGGTGAATGGGCAACAGCACAATGAGGGGGAGTATGTTCTTTTTTGCTCCTTAGCTTTAATGTTGACATGTATCATTACTGTGATTCAGTCTCTTGGGGGGGCACACCCTTGCTCTAGCATGTACAAGTGTGTGGCTTGGTCCATTTAAAGAGCCTGGATTTCCATTAGGCCTCTTCCTCTTCTCAAAATATTAAACTGCAATGTAAAACATCAGCAGTTGTTAGCAGAGTGGAGAAGCAGCAGTTGGTGGAAGAAGGGATGGGAGAGCAGGGTTCAGATTAGTTTGAAAGAATTTAATTTGAAGGTTGTGTGTATATATGTATAGCTATTGTAGAGTTGTGTATTGATATGTACTGCTAAAACTTGGTTTTGGGCAGTAGTGATGAGAGGGTGAGTGACGGAGAGGAGTGACAAGGGTCTATCTATATGCCATTTTGTACTTATCTGGAGTTATTAACTAATTCCTGCTTTAGTCACACTTACCTAAGCATGAATGTTCTTTTTGATACTTCCTGATTAAAACTTCTGGAAAATAATTGTTAATACTCTTACTATACTGAACAGTAGTTATCCAGTATATTAAGCTGTGGTAGTGACCTGAATAACTCATACTTATGGACAGATAAAATGGCATTTACAGATTGTTAGGCCAGTGTTGGTAAACTTGCTAATTTTGAGTGGACAGTTCTGTTTACCATGAGTAGTTTATATTCATAAACATTAACTTTTAGCCAAGCATTCTAATCACTTGATAGTTTTGGAGAGTACTTAGTTATAAATTAGATAGTATCAGTCACAATTTCTTCTATACTGCAGCTCTTTCTAATAGTACTATTAGAAATACTTTAGAATGTAGCTTCAGATAAAAGCAGAGGTTTTTTGTGAAATTACTGGCTATGGAGCACCATATTGTTGATGACTGAAAGATACGGCAGGAATGAGACTGCAGTAAGTACTGCAAAATGTCAGATATGCCCTCTACTTCAATCCTTTCAGGTTTAACGAGGGAGAGCGCCATGTGTCCTCTCTTAAAGGCCTCTAGGTAAAAAGTAAAATGTTTCCTGTAGAAGGCAATGGGAGACCTCAGAGGTAGTGGTGAGATTGTGAAAGAAGTAAAGACACTTCAGTAGCTTGAATCTGTCTTGTATAGACAAAACCGACTGTGATTAGATCATGTTAATCACAATATAGGAATTTGGGGCTGTGAAATGGTGTTGCTAACAGTCATGTCATCTTACTACTTCCTAGTATCTATTACTGCTTACTTGAATGCTTTAAGTGGTTAAATGTTTTGGGAAGAGGTCTCAGAGTCCACTGAAGACTTAAACTCTGAATATTTTGCAATAAATGGGTTTTCTGAGATTTCCTCTTTGCATTACAACAACTTTCCAAGAAGAAATGAACTGTGGATCACAGCTTCTGAAAGATGCTTGCTCTGTCAACAAAATAGATCTTTTCAATTGCATTGCTGACTGTCTTCAAAGTTGTTGCTTCCATGAAATGGCAACTTGATACTTCAGTGCATGCCTTGAATTTTCTTTGACTTCCATGTTAGTTTGATTATTCGATCCTAAACTTTGATCCAAATGTGGTGTTTGACAGTTCTGCTCTTCTGGATTGATGTGTAGAGCTATGTTATATGGTTAACTGCCGTAACTGCTACTGATGTGTCACTCGGTGTGTTAACGTACTAGTAATGACTGTTACCCACAAGTTCAGTATTAAACACCTATATGAGATGCAAGATTAAATTACAACTGGAAGTCCATGTTGTGATGCAATATCCTTGTACTCCCTTCTTTGTAGAAACTAATTCAAAACTACTCACCTGCCTTTGACACCAGGTTTGATTTGAAGATTTCAACTTAATTTACCTCCTGAAGGTTGTTTGTGTATTTAAATGTACAGTGGTTCAGTATTACCTAAATATTGGAAAGGCAATGCCTGCTTGAGGCAGTGCTTGCAAACCTTGGCAGTCTGTTTTAGAATATGCTGCAGCATATTACGGATGCATCTTTTAATTCTGACTTTTGTGTCTACCATTCTAAAAAATAGTTATTACATGAAAGGGCTCTACTTAAAAACATAGTTCTTGAGTGTTGCCAAAAAAGTATTCTCACGTCACAGGTCAGTTTTGGGGTTTATTTAGAATAAATTTTCTATTCTTGGGGACTAGACGTAATGAAAAGATGTCATAATAAAACTGAATTAGTATATTGGGTATTTGGTTATAGGTTGTATAATAGTAAATGACCGATAAGTGGTGTAAATTGTTGTCTCTCAGTGGAAATAACACTGAACTTGTGTGTTCAGAGCAATTTTGCTTGGAATAGTGATGTGGGGGAAAATCTCTGCAATCAGTTTGGTTTTGAAACAATGTCACCTTCTGTGTGCTGTCAAATTTTTTCCATTTTAAATGTACAGGATGAATGAATGCTTTTTCTAATGTATGTTATGCCAGTTGAAATTAAACTTGCTGTTGTCTTTGAATTGTGAAGTGATTTGTTACCTGCCCAAATTTTGCATGTTGGTGGTTTATCCAAGTTATGTTATCTGGATCAGCATTTTGCTTGTACATCTGTCATCAATTAGCTGCTCTACTTTGGTAGGTGTATGGGAACCTCTTTTCATAATGGTTTTGAATTTAAGCTTGACCTTAATCCTGGGAGTACTGGAACAAAGCTCATTTCTGAATTATATTTTCACTGAAACAGCTTCTGCTGTTTAAATACTTTCTGCCATTGTGAACGGAAGATGATTTTAATGTTAATAAAACCTGCAGGGTCCCTATCAGACTTCAGACTATGCTTCTGGGTTGTGTTGGAACACCACTTAAAGCTGTAAGCAAAAGCTCTAAGAAAGCGTGAATGATTACTGGCTGTTTCTACTGGTGGTTGCATAATGCCCAATCTGTGTAAAAGTATATCCTGTGCTGTTTCAAGATCTGAGCTTTAAATGATCATTCAACAGTAATATACAGTAGAGTGAAATGGGTTGGCCTGTTCTGTCCTGACTCATGTATCAACCTGCCATTGCTGCAGATGACTTTAGAATTTATCTTCTAATTGATGTTTCTGGCAACTGATCTACTAGCTCTAGCAGTCTTCTCTTCCCAGGGCCTCTGAAGTTGCTTATTTGGCCTATCAGTGGCTAATAGGTAGGCATTTGTTAGGCTTGGCTTGTCGGTATGTGGCTTTTGGCTGCCTACTTGACTGTATATGATGTGTATGAAATGGCCTTGCACACACACAAGGTGTATGATGGCTGGACAAAAGATATAGAGGCTGGAGAAAACCTCTGACAGAGCTCAAGATTTTGAAGGTTGCTGGGACAGAAATCTTTCTGGGCAGCTTAACATTTGCTTGTTCTCATTGCTAGAAAAATGTACAGATGTAGATCTTGTTCTGCTGTTCATCTTCCTGCATGACTCTTGCTTTGGTAGTTTATTTCTAGAGCCAACAGATGCTTTTGTACTTCCCTAATAATACTCAGATTTGAAGCAGTTATGATAGCGGAGATATTTGTCTTCTCTCTGAGCTCCTGTTTATCTACAAGTATAGCCTGAATTCCAAATTGAGAAGAGTTGTTAGGCTTTCATGTACTAGCCCTTACTACACTATGATTTGGAACGTACTACTTTCATGTGCTGTAATAGTGCATTACTGAAGACAAAGTTTAAATTAGTATGAAGTTTGTGGTTTTCTAGTTTATGGCCTTATTTCTACAGGAAATAAACTTCTGTTTTAATTTAACATCTTATTAATAACCTGAATACAAACCAAAGTAACTGCAGGGTACCTGTGCCAGTGTTTTGGACCAGATCTGTCAATAGCAGATTTTGGGGAACAGTCATGTGGTCTTACTTGGCTTATTTGTTATTTTAAACTGCTTTTCTGAATTCTGATAATAACTAATGTCTTGCCTAATAGTGGCAGCCATGAAATAAAGCTTTTATTTAAAAACTAGATGTGGTATACACTTGTCTGAGATCTGCTGTCATACTGTGGCTTTCTTTAGAGCAGCAGTGACTGAGGGAGTAAAAGGGAGCAGAGTGGTGGTGGTTGAAACAAGGCCAAGTCAGGTCAACCTGGAAAGTCCTTGGTAGAGGATTTGACTTCTGTGCAACTACTGGTCTAGTGTGAAGCCTTTATATTGAACTAGTTTATTCTTGAGTATTTATGCCTATTTCAAATAGCATGTCATGCTGATGGAGCTAGCATTTGTTGTAGTGTGCCGTTAGAACCTGGTGTATAAGGTCACCTAATGTCATAAAAAGCAGTTTTAGTAACTGCTAGGTTCTTACAGGGACTAAAAGCTGGGAAGATGTGGTCTGGAGTTCAAGTAAGTCTGGTACAATTAATAGGGTGAAGTGCCTTTAACTTCTCACTAGAAGTCAGATAAGTATCATCCCTTCTGCTGCCACACGTGGGACGTTAACTTTCTTTACTGTTTGACCTAAATACTTTTTCTTTTTTTCCCCTAGGTCTTAGTGGTGCAATGGCTAGTATAAGTGTTCGCTCAAGTACCCCAGGCTCGCCCACTCACGTGAGCAGTGGCTCCAATGCTAGTCGAAGGAGAAATGGACTCCATGATGTTGATTTGAACACTTTCATATCAGAAGAAATGGCACTCCACTTGGACAATGGTGGAACTAGAAAGCGTACCTCAGCCCAGTGTGGCGATGTCATTACAGACTCACCAACTCATAAACGCAACAGAATGATCTAAACTGCAAAAATTTCAAACCCACCATGCTGCTTGAAAGCCACTTGATCCTCAGAGTACTATTGAAAAGGAAACATGAGGCCATCTTTCCATATTCACTGTTTAAGACAAATTCAATAATTGCCATAAAAGAAATTTTAGATATTACATTAGATGCCTCTTGTAACTGCGGCTTTCTTAAACTATATTCTTAGCAGAGGACATCAGATATTGTGTAGTAGTTAGCAAGATCATCATAGGCAAACATGTATCCGTTCCAAGGCTAAAAGTGACCTTACTTGTATTAAAGGGAAAGGAGATTTCAGATGTTTATTTGGTTATAGAATGCTTTTTTTTGTCCTTTATTTCCTGCTGTGTTGAGTATTTGCTTAAACAGTATTGCCAGTTTGACTGAAATTGTCTACAACATGACTTGGCATCTTTGTCAAAACTGCAGGCTTCCATTTTTGCAGCACTGTACCATGCACCTAGTTTCTATATAGTAACAGTGTGCAAGTTATAAATATTGGACTGTACCCTTTTTAGTTTTAAAAGCAGTTGATAATTCTGGTGATTGTGTGATAATGTAAAGAGGTGCTATGATGGTCATGCAATTAATACTTAATGAATCAATACAAGGATCTTTATTGGATTCACTTTGTGTGTTTAGTGCTCTGAAGTAGCAATATTAAACTTTTCCCCTATTAACTTCATAGGCTTTTAAATCAGTTTGAGAAAATATATGTACTTATTGGTATTATCCTTGTGGTAATCATACACAGTGCAGACTGCACCAGTGCTGACCTAAATTTAGAGAAAGATGTCCTGTAATTGGAAAATAGGCTTTTCTGTTCAGTATTAGTGAAGGGTAGGTTTTGTGTACACCCATATCCCATTTTACATTTCTTGTGAAGTAATTGCCCATTGCTGGGGAGGGGTGGGAGGAGAGGGAAGGAGGGGGAGTAGTTGGAAAAGGGGTGTGTTCTAACAAGTAAGACTTCTGGTCACATGTGGGAACTTGGACTAACTTAAACAAGATTGTGTGATGCCATCTCCTTCAGGAGGTAGTGACATGCGGGTTCTGTGAAGTGCTAAGAAAATAATTTAAAACTGGAAGTTGATTATAAACTCTGGATAAACATGCCGTAAGGATGAATTAAAAAGGATAAATGGCTTTCTTTTTGTGTTGAGCTTGCATTCGTAGGATTGAACTCTGGCTGCCATAAGTATAATCTAAAACTGAACTAGAGATCAAGGCTGATCTGCTGCAAATCCATTTTGGAATGGGGAAGGATATGTTGGTCTCAAAGAGCATCCTAGCTGTTTTTACATGTAGATGCAGGAAGTCTTTGGTGGAGAGCTCTGGCTCTTAGGGCCTCTAGACCTCTGCCTAGGAAAGGGATAGTACAGGACAGAGAAGAAAATGAAGAGCTCTAAACCTGCAGGTTGAGAAAGGCGCATTTAGTGAGGGGGTATGCATGCTTTAACTGGAAGCATAGGCTGATTCTTGGATGAAATGCAGCTATGCTAGATTCACAATACTAAAAAAATTGTGGTGGTCTAGCTAAGTTAAGGCACCTTGAGCTCCATGTTAATACACAGTTCTTCAAGTCTTTTGCTTATGTGCTTGTAGAGTCAGATCTTTTTTGTATTATCTTCCCTGTTTGAAGCAGACTTCACCATAGTTTATTTCTCCTTTTTACCTTGGTGTCCTCTCACTGGTGTTCTGTAGTCAAGGCTAGATAGCAATGATGTGTTAAATTCTCAGAACTCAAGGCTCTTTGAGAGCGTGATTTCCTTGCTTTGTGGTGCTTCCACCAAATTTCTTTACATCGAAGAGCTCTTGAAGATGTCAGCAGTTGCACAGTACTGTAGCTAGAGGTTCTGTAGTTTATGGGACAAGTGTAAGAACTGTTCAAAGCAAGATGGTAAGAACTGTTCAAAACCCCCACCTGTGTTACATAGCTGAACTTGCACATCACCCAAAGACTCAGTGAACATTAATTTCAGTTACTGCTATTAACTACGATTCGTAAGACTTACTTTATGTAAAATGTTAACACTGCATAAAGCTAGTTTTCATTTGGAGACTGCATTTTCAACAAAGATTTTGAAGATGGTATCTAAATAGATCTGTTAGTATTTATTAGGCTGTTGGCAGAGGCGGTTTTCTGTTCCAAATGAAAAATCTGGAGTCCTGAAAAAAAGGACGTGAGAGCCCTTCTTCAGCTCTTCTCTTTATTCATTAACTGGCTTGTACAGCTAAGGTGCTTGTGCTCTGCAGCTTCTAACACTTTACTACTACGTGTGGTAAAGGTAAATGTGGTATTGGTGTCAGTTCTGCGTATACGGGCTGAACTGTAACAGCGCTGCTGGTGTAACCCAAATACACAGAGCCTGTTCAAATTACTTCCCCCCTTCTTTGCACTGAAATAAATCATGTTAATGCTTTGAAGCATTAATTCAGTCTAGTACTGTCTAAAATGAAATTTCTCTGGCTTTTTAATTTGTGCCATTTTTCTTTGGAAAAAGCAGGCTTAGATATATTAAACTGGTTGCATTAACTTTTTTTTGCTTGTACCTTAAATATTTGGCAACTTTTTGATTGTTTTCATTTAGCCCTAGCTGCTGTTTGCTCTTTGTTAACCTCTGCCAGAATGATCAAAAATGCATGTTATTTGCTGGGTAAACACAAGGAGAACAGGTTGTCTCTCAAAAGTTCAGTACCTGTTGCTTTGAAGACTTTTCTTGTGCCAGTGTAGAAAATTGATGTTCTGGAAATAGCTTTCAGCTGTTATCCAAACCATAGCTCCTGGAGCCAGAAGTGAGTTGATTTTTCTGTAAGAAACACTGAATTTGAGAACTGTTTAGTTTGGTAAAAATGGTGCTTACTTTTGCTTTCTCCTATGAATCGTATAGTTGACCGGTCTCTTCTCCATGTACATCAAATCTAACATGAATGTGCGGTAAGTTACATAAAGTACATCCTGCACTGAAGCTACTGAGCTTGGCTTGCTTATTAATGAAGTAAGTTTTAAATGTTAAATTTAAATCTATATTACAATAAAGTAATGCAAAAATGATTTTGGCTGAAACTGAAGTCCTGCAGTTAAACTTACTTTCAAATGTGGTTTACCCAGCTGGAGTAATAGAAACTCTAAGTCATAATAAACCTAATAAAAAAAAAATACAACTAATCAGGCTGCTTTGTAGTTTTTTAAGTTTCTGAATAATACAGTCCATCAGTAAACCCAAACCAAGTCATGGTTAGTGTGAGTTGACAGGCTTATTTGGTTCTGCAGAGTAGGATTTTTCTGTAGGAATGCAATTGGATGGTAGCTGTTCAGTCTAGCTCCACTTAAGAGGCTTTCCTTTCTGTCTCTTGTGGACTAATGACAATATTAAGAATTGGAGCATACTGTTACATTTGTAGAAGACGTTCTGCAGAGTTTAGCATCACTAATACTTAGGAAAAGTGTCAAACTATGCCACTTAAAACCTGTTTAGAAAATTAAGTGGTATTGACTTCAGTAGTAGAGCTTTCTAGTATCTTGCAAAAGACTCTGGACTTAAGTGAAATTAGGTGCTTTAATTAGCAGCTTTTCCTGCTTTATGTGGGTGTCCCTAAACCTGCAACTATTTCCCACTTACTTGCTCTATCAGCAGGTCTTTAAATTTCATTATGAAGGAAAGCTTTATTTCACAGGAGCATTTAAGTTAAATATTTTTTGATTAACTTTTTCACATCTAGCCAGTGAAATGTTCCAGTGAGGTTTTGGAAAGCATTCTTAAATGACTTCTAAAAACCTAGGATCTTTCAGATGTTAGCCTTGAGCTAGTAATACTTTGGCAGAAATAAGGAATGCACACCTGGCTTGTTCCATGGAGTTTGCTGTACCAGGTGGGGCTGCTGTGGTTGTCTGGGGCAGGCACAAGGCTCTGTGGCTTGCTTGTTCCAGGTCCTCTGGTTATTTAAGGTAATGAGGAGGGCACTGGCACTTGTCAGTCATTCTGCCTGTCTCAAGCTTTCCTTCTCTTCGTGTGAATCTCCTGGGGATAGTTAGAGGCTGGTAAACTTTCTCTAAGAGCTTATGAAATGGCTCTGGAGTCAACACTGGTGCTTTCTGCTGCCATTACTTCGCTGGGCCCCTTTCATGCCATCTCAAAATGAAAACTAAATGTGTCTTAAGCTCACAAGGGTGGTAGTGAGTAAGCCACCAAATTAACTTCTGGGTCATATGGAAGCATCACCTAGCTCTGTTATAGGAGAGACTTGGAAGCTGAATGTTTCTCAGTGGGGAATGAGATTCCAGCACTTCCCGTGTGCCTGTTTTGAGCAGTGTTGCTGTTGTGACTGCTGTTATAGCAGCTCTCTGGGATTTTTGAACACTGGGACTGTACATAGGGCTGTGTTCTTATGGTTAAGAGGGGATGTGGTGGGGGAGTGCCCAAGAGTGTGACCTTGTTAGAATCTGCTGTGAGCCCATGGAGCATGACACTATGGTCTGAAATCTTGAATTTCAGTATAAGAAGTATTGATCAATTTGTTAAGGTAGCATCTAAGACCACTCTTAATCATGCTTCATTATTTTTGTATCGACTTCAAGTGTAAAGGTAAAGTTTCTGGATGCGGAAGAACAGCAAGCTATGTGTGAAAGGAAATACTGGGGTCCTCCCTTGTACTGTCATGGTGTAACACTGGCATCTTTGTCAGAAGGAAACTCATAATGCTTCTCCAGCTCTGAAAAACTCAAGCCACAAGAATTCTTCTGGTATTTCTTTACATCTAGTGTCCTTTTTACAAAGCATCAAAGCAGGATACAGAATGTTTGTGTTGGAACCAGATTCTTAGTGCATCTAGTTCTAGGTTTCTGCTGGAGTTTTGACAGGGTTGCTCCAGCTCCTGCCCCTGTGTGTACCTCTGCTCACAGAATATGGTCAATGCTGAGAAGTCCCAAGGCTAGCATTTTTTGCTTTATTAATACATATTTTTGTTTTCATATTGGTAACTGAACCTAGCTTTCTTCTTTTGAAGTGAATTCCTGGAGTTGTACTTACGTATAATGCAGCATACAAGACCAAGAGTAAGGTGGGGAGAAAATTCCAGGTTTGTTCTCCTGTTTAACTGCGTAATGACTTGATCTCATGCAGTTAACTCTGGCTGCCTATAGCACTGCTTCTCTGCAGATCAATGATCTTCAAAAAAATCTTTGCATTGGTGCAGTGCTTTAGGCCAGACTTGTAGCTATTTTTTTTAAAAAAATACCTACTATGCTTTTTAAAATTTTAAAGGTCTGTGGAGAGAGTTTTGCCACAGGTTGACCCCAGTGATGCTGCCCTGTGTCTATTTCATAAAGCACAGCTGAGGTTAGTTAATGCTGTCTTCAACAAAAGTGTTCTAAACCC